GGAAAAAAGAAGTTCGTAAATATGGTAGGTGTCCAGACTTGAGGTTACCCCCTGAAGAAAATAAAACGACAGTCTCGTTAAGCAGAGGAACACAACATCTCAACAAACTTAGTTCCATCAGACAACCGAACACTCTCAAAACTGCACGACCACTTTCACCTATTAAATTCACGATGAACTAAGTCCCTGAAGACCTGACCGCTGAAGACTCCACCAACGTTGATCTTACTGTCTCACTCCTGTGAAGGATAAAATCATTAGACGTTTGTTTCATCAAAACAATAACGTATTTTGCCTCTTTCACCAACCCAAATGTACGCGATTATAGGAAGTTGTAACAATAAACCAGATAAAACGCCACAAATGAAAACACACCTCGCCAACATGGAACTAGCAGTCGTTCGTAAATGAAGAGTCTCCCAAACAATCACATCTTTTCGACTGGCTGGTAAGATCACCAAGTTAAAAACCTCTATTTAACGGGCTATACGTGAGAGGTTAGTCCGTTAAATCGAAGTACGTTATATGGAGACTTCACTGTATTACTGTATGCTTACTTAATTCAGCACGAGTTATACCTATATTTGTTGGATCATCTTTTTAAGTCCTGAGGAGGAAATAATGAAATCAAACCCTATGCTTCCAGGAACACCACTACCACTTTACCGGGATGGGTATTAGAGGCGTCTCCCGGGATACATTCTAACCGCTGAGACCAAATCAACTGGATGTCGAAATCTTTGAAAGTTGAGAGATAGCGACCTACTCCGTGAGGGTATCGTCAAACTGAAGAAGAAAAATCTTATGTATTTGGGGAATATTCTGTCTCATCAAACGACAGACAGTGCACAAAAGACAGACAGACAGACAGACAGACAGACAGTACACAAAAGACAGTCAGACAGTACACAGAAGACAATGACATTACACAAAGGACAGACAGTACACAAAAGACAGACAGTACACAAAAGACAGACAGTACACTAAAGACAGACAGTACACAAAGGACAGACAGTACACAAAAGACAGACAGTGCACAAAATCCTTCACGTACGCTTCCCCAGTTACCTGTGATCTCAGCATAGATTGAGTACTACTGTTAGAGAAATATACACACACACAAAATATTCCTTTATACCACTGCGAGTGTTGCCTGAAGCAGCTAAGGACATGGCGCAGTATATAGTATATTCAATGTGCTTTTGTGTCGAAAGCTTAAGTAGAGGATATTATAGGATCTGTTTTAGGTTCAGGAACATGAAAAATAAGTGTGGTAGGAGGAGAATAGTGTAGCAGATGGCTGATAATTGATTAGAATGAACAATGCAAAGATTATTTTTACGGGGGACTTAAAATATATAAGAAAATAACTAAGGACAAAATCGCATTAGGCATAACATATAGGAACACGACAAGATATATTTCATTAGATCAGTGTGTTTTAGATTTAACATTAACATCTTTTTAATGATGGTATGAAGTAAAAAAGTTAATCAGTGGATGGGAATAGAAATTTAAGGTATTTTGGTTGAGAACCCCGCTATCACGCTGAATGTTTTTGCCGGGGTTGACAGCAAGAGGCAATGACCAAACCTGTTCTTCATCATCCCGTACAGACACTCTTCTAACAGTCTTTGAAAGAGGGTACTAATCATTCACAGAAGATCCATCCAGTACTGTTTCCCTCAAGTGAATATTATATAAGTATATCCTGTCGATTTCACTGAGATTTTTTTTTATTGTATAATAAACTTCATAATAATTTGCTCAATTCCAATAGTTAACTACACTTTTAACCATGCGGCAGATTCCAGCAGCCATTTCGTTTTCAATGTTACATCGATAACCTCATGTCACTATAAAGAACTCTAAGGTAATAAGAAAGAATGTCCTTGTTCATTTCCTTGAATATCAAACGTTTCCTGTATATTTACTGCACCAAACTTCAGTAAGACATGAAAGATGAAACAGAGGGATGGACTTACTAACTCAACTTCTAAACTAGAGAAGAACAAAGAAAAGTGCAATGGGTAACAAAGAATAAAGGAAAACAATTGCACATTTCGTAACTAAATTTCATCCCTGTTGACCTCATTTCAGTTTTTTTTTTTAATTTTTTATTCACTTGAGGTGATTTATAGGTTTTCAATATACACACACCCCTAAAATCATAGTTTTTGTTTTTAGAATGTTGAAAATTTATACAGTGTGACTGCTTCTGTTCGTATTCCCCAAGTGAAGGATACATTGGCTTTGGGGAAATGTAACCTTGTCTTAGAGTACATATTTTCGTGAAGTGAAGTACTGTACCTCGCTGATACTAACTGTAGGAGCATGGAAGCAGACACAGTCGAGGAGCAAACACGATGGACTGGACATGTCACCCGCCTAGATGACAGTAGACTGCCAGAGCAATTACTCTACAACCACTTAAATAATGATAACACTAATGGTGGTCTTTGCCGGAAATATACAAGTTAACGTTAGAAAGAGACTATACCTCCACCCCGCCAGCCCCTACATACATAACATCTGCGGACAATTCACCCGGTTCAGCCTTGTCCTCCCGAGCCACTTCAGTGCTTACCAATTAAAAATGACACCATCAAAATAATTCCCACATTTTCCTCATTGCTGGATGATCAAACTTTGTGATATAATCTGTTTATGCTACTTTAATGTAAACTGTGGTTGAAAATTATTGGTGTCTACTGATGTCATCAATCTTGCTTGAATTTCACATGTAAAGTAAATATTTAAGTGATTAGCATTCAAGGAATCTGAGTAGAACTGAATATTGCATAATAGGTGATTATTATTAGGCACAGTAACATAATACACTGTCAATCAGATACCACACACAGTCAGGGGGATATAATCAGATTTGGTGAATTAAAAAAGCAAATGAAATTGGAAAAAAATATAAATAAATTTAGTCTCTATTGATAATATTGTCATAAATACAATGTCATCCCTCTTCACCCTCTCAGGTTTGGTTATGTTATCAGATATGTAAAGTAAAAGCAATGCAAAATGTAAACACGGTGATATGAGGTGAACATGACATAATGCAATTTTATTTTGTACTCAGGATTTATCATAGAATATTCTACTGTTTAGTCATAATCATCTACTACTTTACACTTAGATTATCATGATAAATTTGCCTTATTTTATGTTTCAGTTTAATTAAAATGAATTCAATACGTAAACTGCTTGATGTTGAAGAAACTTAATCAAGAAATTCTTTTCAATTATGTTGTGTCTAGTCATATATGGTCGTCTCAGCTTACGTGGAAATTTGAATATATGTGTGTGTGTGTGTGTGTGTGTGTGTGTGTGTGTGTGTGTGTGTGTGTGCGCGCGTGTGTGTGTGTGTGTGTGTGTGTGTGTGTGTGTGTGTGTGTGTGTGTGTGTGTGTGTGTGTGAACCTATGTTTGACAGTATATACGGTGGTGTCTGTGGTATTTTATTTGTTAATTTACCGTCTTTTTAGGAAATATTTCGAACAAATTATATGTGTATGTGGTTGATGAATGTGATATAATAACTTTAAATGTCTATAATAGCTTAAGGAATTGTATAATTAGCATGAATATGAGGATACCACTTTTATTTTAATTTTTATTCTATTATTATGCCAATTAAATTTCATGAGTATATATATATATATATATATATATATATATATATATATATATATATATATATATATATATATATATATATATATATATATATATATATATATATATATATATATATATATATATATATATTAGCTCTTTTGTTAATACCAAGACTTCGGATATTTTCTAATGTGGGCTTTTGTTTAGATAAGACAATTTTTTTACAGTGTGTAATTTTAAAAGTGAGTGTTGATATTAACTCTTTTAAAGGTATTCAATATGACTGACATGTGTTTTTTTTTTTTTTAACTAAATATAGACATAGGTTGTGAGGTATGGAAAACGTATTTTATTGTTCTTTTCATAATGCTTGTTCCAATTATATTTTTTCAATAGTAAAAAAAAATAAAAACAGATCTCATAACCGTTTAAAGACATTCTATTTTTGTCTTATGATCCTTCTTTTTCTCTCCTCTTAACATAAATGTATTCCTATTTAAATAGCTGAACGATGCATGAGGCAAGTGTCTGGGTTGAACACTTAGTACCATTGGTGAGAAGATGTGCGAGAGATTATACAGGAGTCTTTCTACATACGCTGCCCCTCTACTTCTCTTGTCCTTACTAAAGTTTTGTCTACTTTCCTCCATGTATCCAGTTTGCTTGCTACCAGTACACTCCGTCTTTTATCTCTGAATATTTTACGTTTTGCCAGATTAGTTTGTCTTCCTTTAATTGTTTTCACACTTCTGTTTGTTTTTATTTCCTATTTGGGGTCTTGCTTTAATCTTTTCCTCTGGGTAGGCTTTGCTAGCCCTCTCACTAGCTTCAGAGTACTTCTCTAGGCACGAGTAGGTCAATATTGCAAATTTAACTTAAGTTAGTCTTGGCCGTGTTGAATGATTCTCTCAGAACAGTAGAAGTTCAGCGGCTGTAGAAACATAGACAATATCATGGTCTTCAGTTGCCTCATATACAGTATCTTTATCAAAATATCTCTTATAATTGTCACTGATATAAGAAACTTGTATACTCTGTGAAGCATGATACAATTGTTATATCATCTATCTAATAAGTAAAGTTTTGATTTCAAAACAGGAGGCTTTTATAACTTTATATTTAAAATGCTATTGCTTGTGCATGAACTTACTCCTACATATCTAGTTTCTACTGTGTGCTCTTATATTTAAGCATTAAGAAGTAAATTAGCATGGAAATTAGTAATGTAAAGTCATTCTGAGAATTAAGAACTTAACCTTGAATGATGAGTAGTGATGGTTAGGCCCCTTTGTGAGGCGTGCATGTGCTTTGGGCGTCAGCAGGCGTCCTCGCTGTAGCCTCCCACCACACTCACCAACATTTGTCTTACAGCGTAAAGGCGGCACCGGCGGAGAACGCGGCGGATATGACGAGGAACTAAACGAAATCCACGTCCGCGATAAGACCCTTCTCAACACCACAACAGACAGAAGTGGGTGGGGACTATTGAATCAGCAGAGTCCTCCCCACCCGACAACCATCACCACCACCAACACCAACACCGTCACCAGCACCTCCAGCAGTCCCGGCGCTGCTCCCAGTGTGGTGGCAGTGAGCAAACCCAACTCCACCACCACCGTCACCACCGCCATTGTTAACCTCCCCACACCATCACCTAATGGGGACAGCGATTTCCCCACGCCCTCCCTGGGGTCCGCGTCCCCGGCTAATCAGGGTGTGCTAAGAATATCATCTCTCTAAGTTATGTATTTTTTACGTGAGATAGTAAGCCTTAGCACCAAAGGATCATGAACTGGTGTGGTGAAGTGTTTTACATGGGCTAGAGGAACTCATCGCTGCCTGTGGCCCTAGTCCACTATTACATTATCACTTAACAGACACTCTCTCTTGACTAGTCTAGAGGAACATAAGAATTTGAAGTTATTAAGTATGATTGCAGCTGCTTAATCCATTATAATAACTATTACATCCATTCTACAGACAATGGGCGATTTTCATATAATTTGAAATTTACGTCCCAAATAATTTCGGGAAATTGTAATGCTTTAAGAATTTTAGCTATTAATTTTAGAACTCCAAGTTTAGTAAGAGGCGCCCTCAGTTATCTGGGATCCCGAGGTAATGTTCTTGGTTGTGGGCCATGCCGCTTGGCTGGTGTTCGTCAGCTTGAGCGAGAGACGCGCTTACTGCTCCTTAATTCGCCCCGGCCTACCGCCCTTGGACCTCCTCTGCTATGTTTGTTGTTACGAGTTTTGTCTCTTTATTATCTGGCCTTCAACCTGTCCAAGCGTGGCCGGTGTCGTAGCATCGCCAAGCAGCCAAGTTAGGGAGGGAAGTATAGGCGAAAGTATAGATTTAATCAATTAAAAATTATTACAGAATATTTGTGCATTCATCGGGTTTTTGTGTATTTTTGCACTATATTTTATAACTGGACTTATCATCATAATAATTATGATAATCAATCTTGTCCTCTTGTTATAGTCTTGGGTCTAGGAGGAGTTATTTCCAAAGAGTGAGAGCAAGATGATGAGAGGTTATTTCTGACATATTTGTTCAATGATATATAAAGTCTATATACATTACTTATTGGAGAGACACTATCAAAGTCTTATTTGTTAAGATATTGTAGTATATTTCATAAATATGTATATATATACATATATATATATATATATATATATATATATATATATATATATATATATATATATATATATATATATATATATATATATATATATATATATATATATATTTGTGTGTGTGTGTGTGTGTGTAAATATATCACTGTAGGTACGCGTGTTCCATGTATATGTTGGTAACCACATAGGAAACAAGTAACCACAAAGTTCTCAAGCGCTTTCGTGTAATTCACGTCTTCAGGGGTGAGTACAGACTAAGGAGTAATTATCGACAAGGCGAATATATACAGTAAAGGAGAGTGAGATCAAGTCCCTAGGTTACAGCAGGTGTCCACCATATTCAGGTTACAAATCTTGTTAATCACAAAATCGTCCAATTTGTACATACCATTACTCAAATTCATGTTGACAGATTCGGCATGTTTACTGAGACTAGATTATATAATGTTCCTATTGACAATTGAATTACAAGATAATGTTGAGGAGGCACTATCCCAGTCAATGCAATGCTTATTATCTCTCACGAATGAACAAATCATTAGATTCCTGGCCTGTCCCAACACTATATTTATGTTGTTTAAGTCTAATTATAAGATCTTTTCCCGTCTGGCCTAAATAGAACATATTACATTCCTTGCAAGGAACCTTGTAAATGCACCTCTGAAGATGTGAATTACACGAAAGCGCTTAGGAATTTCGTGTTTTCTTGTTTCCTATATAGTTATTAGTATATACATGGATCACGCGCACATACAGTGATATATTTACACACACACACACACACATACTGTATATATATATATATATATATATATATATATATATATATATATATATATATATATATATATATATATATATATATATATATATATATATATATATATATATATATATATATATATATATATATATAAACACGTGTACGTCAATTAAAGAATAAATCATATGAATGTGTGGCGTCTGTTTATGAATATGAACAAGAGCGTTTATGAATAAAAGGAATGTATGTGTGGATGTAAGAGTGTGTGTACATTGAATGTATGTGTGATGTAAAGTGTGCAGAATTAAATGTAAGTGTGGTAGTAAAGCGTGTGTGCATTGAATGTATGTGTGGATGTAAGAGTGTGTGTACGTAATAAAATGGTTGTGCGGGTGTAATAGTGCGAGTGTGTACGTAAGAGTGCAAGTGTGTATGTAAGAATGCAAGTGTGTATGTAAGAGTGCAAGTGTGTATGTAATAGTGCAAGTGTGTATGTAAGAGTGTAAGTGTGTATGTAAGAGTGCAAGTGTGTATGTAAGAGTGTAAGTGTGACTGTAAGAGTGCAAGTGTGAATTATAAGAGTGTAAGTGTGACTGTAAGAGTGCAAGTGTGAATTATAAGAGTGTAAGTGTGAATGTAAGAGTGCAAGTGTGTATGTAAGAGTGTAAGTGTGTATGTAAGAATATATATATGTGGTTGTAAGAGATACGTGATTTCCTGCAGGTGAGAGATGATAGTAAGGAGATGCTCTGATGTTGACGTGTACAATCCTTGTTGACCCCCGTACCTGGTAGTTTGGAAGAAAGAGTCTACTCATAATAGTCTAACATATCATAAGAAAATCTGGCCTCAAGCTAAACGATTCAAGAAATGGTTCTTTTGTTTAAGCTGACAATTATCTCCTGATTCTTTGAAACGAATATTGTTTCAGGAGATATATATATATTTTTTTTATTTTTTTTGGTTCTGTTGATCAAAATGAAATTCTGTCTTCATTCTCTGATGTCACTACCATTCATGATCATCACTGCTTTGTCTTTATTACTGAATCAAACACCGCTGTTATGTAGAGGTTATTTTTAAGATATGCTCTCTGGAAGTTCGTTTATTATAATACAATCTAAGCACGTGCCATGTAATATAGAACTAATCTAATAAAATTAAGAACTATTTCCTTAGTGCTCCCGATTTCATCACGGTCAACCAACACGTTCATTGGAGTCCCTTCATTATAGAACTGAACAAGTAAACAGTAGGTGGTTCTTCGTGTACAGATAAATGTGTCTCTCTAACCTTACAGTAAAGATGAACATTTAAGTGCTAATGACACAAGTATGCAGGTGATCTACTCCCTAAGTCCTCTGACGGTATAGTGGCTATCATTAGTGACGAATGTTACAGGGCTGTGGTTATATGTAAGGTTCATAACGCTTATACTTGTCTCTCAAATCTTTGTTGTAGTTTGGAGGATATGTGTCATCATCAAGGATACATGATATCACCACCACGTAGATGATACATGTGTCACTACTACTACGTGAGGATAAATGTGTCATCATAAAGAAGAGGACATATGTATCACCATCACGTTAAGGATCCATGTATCACCATCACGTCAAATATGAATATCATCATCACGTTAAAGGATGTATGTGTCACCATCTGGAGGATCTGGGCATCAATCTCACACACTCAGGAACAAGAAAGACAAGGACATTGGAACGAGATACTCAAGACATAAGAGATAGGCTGCCTGAGTGAATGAATAACAGGAACAGGGAATTGAGGCGAACCATTCACGTACTGTGGGGAAGAGCTTTGGTTGGTGGATTAAGGAAGGAACAGTTTACTAGCTGAAGAAAGAGTCAGCCATGTGTCGGGGTCTGAGTACAGAGGAATGCGTAGGTGCCAGGGAGATTTGAGGTCAAAACGTTTGAGTTGCATGGCTAATTCATTGGACCACAACCATGGACTTAGAGACAGGCCACAACCACGGACTTACTGTAGAGACAGGCAACAACTATGGACTTACTGTAGAGACAGGTCACAACCATGGACTTAGAGACAGGCCACAACCATGGACTTACTGTAGAGACAGGCCACAACCATGGACTTACTGTAGAGACAGGCCACAACCATGGACTTACTGTAGAGACAGGCCACAACCATGGACTTACTGTAGAGACAGGCCACAACTATGGACTTACTGTAGAGACATGCCACAACCATGGACTTACTGTAGAGACATGCCACAACCATGGACTTACTGTAGAGACAGGCCACAACCATGGACTTACTGTAGAGACATGCCACAACCATGGACTTACTGTAGAGACAGGCCACAACCATGGACTTACTGTAGAGACAGGCCACAACTATGGACTTACTGTAGAGACAGGTCACAACCATGGACTTACTGTAGAGACAGGTCACAACCATGGACTTACTGTAGAGACAGGCCACAACCATGGACTTACTGTAGAGACAGGCCACAACCATGGACTTACTGTAGAGACAGGTCACAACCATGGACTTACTGTAGGGAATGGAACCATGGACTTACTGTAGAGACGGCCAGGACCATGGACTTACAAGACAGGCCACAACTATGGACTTACTGTAGAGAGACATGGGACTTACAGACCATGGACTTACTGTGAGAGACAGGCCACAACCATGGACTTACTGTGAGAGACAGGCCACAACCATGGACTTATGTGAGACAGGCCACAACCATGGACTTACTGTAGAGACAGGCCACAACCATGGACTTACTGTAGAGACAGTTGGACTTACTGTAGACCAGTCCACAACCATGGACTTACTGTAGAGAGAGGCCACAACCATGGACTTACTGTAGAGACAGGCCACAACCATCGACTTAGAGACAGGCCACAACCATGGACTTACTGTAGAGACTTACTGTAGACAGGCCACAACCATGGACTTACTGTAGAGACAGGCCACAACCATGGACTTACTGTAGAGACAGGCCACAACCATGGACTTACTGTAGAGACAGGCCACAACCATGGACTTACTGTAGAGACAGGCCACAACTATGGACTTACTGTAGAGACAGGCCACAACCATGGACTTACTGTAGAGACAGGTCACAACCATGGACTTACTGTAGAGACAGGCCACAACCATGGACTTACTGTAGAGACAGGCCACAACCATGGACTTACTGTAGAGACAGGCCACAACCATGGATTCTGGAAGGGCCGAAACTATAGACTACAAAACGTACCGTCACCATGGACTTATAGAGACGGGTCAGAATCACGGACAGAGGGATTTTACTATTGCCACGGACGAAGCAACGGGCCCAAACCATGGATTTAGGTACGGACAAAAACTATGGACTTATGAATAAAAAGATTTATCGGTGTTAAAGGCATAGTAACGGACCAGAGACAGTAGGTTAACGGACTTACGGATAAACTAGAACCACGGACTACAAAACTTAGCATTGCTACGGACTTAGGAAAGAGTCAAAGCCACGACTTTAGAAGCAGGTCAATGTCACGGCCAAAACGATAGGACATTTGGTACGGACTCAGGAACGGACTAATGTCATAGAATGATAAAGGGACTGGAACCACGTACTAAGGAACGTGACATTACCACAAGATGAGTAACGTACAAGAATGGCAGATAGATGGACATGCTAGCGTCAGGCAGTGATGGACGCGATTGAGACACCAAGATATGCAAGAAAAACTAAACGAAACACGAACTGAGATAAAGTAACACCTGGAACTGATGAAAGTTTGTCCAGAAGAATCGAGGAATGTCCAGAGTCACGGTCTGAGGGACGAAACTGGGGCACCATAGAACGTGAGTCTCCCAATGAGGCCAAAGTTGCCAAACCGGAACTGCTACATCCCAGGTGTCCAACTTAAAATGTGGAATGTACAGCTCATCACCTTTTTTTTTTTTCCAATTAGTTAACCCGAATTTCACTTGAGCTGTTCCTGTGTACATAGAACTTCTTTGCATGTACACACACTTGCATATATACATAAATATACCTGTAAAATAAGCGTATACAAACTTAAGACCACACCCTGCCAACACTGTATGTCCGGTGTTGTTCGTGTATATGCGTAATACACATTTCCCTGTCAGTGAGGCATTGTTTTCCCGTCATGCATAATATTGGTTATGATGTTATATGATATAGACAATATAGGCACATATACAGCAAAAGAAAAAACATGAATAGACAAAATATTTACATTTCTACACCCTTAACCAAAGGACTAAGAGAAATTGCCGTGACCCACCCATGTTTTATACTTGTCTGTGTGATATGAATGTGTATTAAAACTGTCTGTAGTGTCTCATTATATGTGCTTGTTTTAGGATAAATGTTTATCTGTTTTATCATATGCTGTGAATCTGGATGACTCTACCTACCTGTATTGTGTTACAGGTGTAGCTGACTGCATTGAATGAGGGAAATTAGGACTGTCTGTGTTGACGTATGTATAAACTGTGATGAAGAGTAAGTGTGACTGTGCCTGCCTAAGGTGAAGGGTACGTAAGACTGTGCTTCTCTGTGTCGAAGGGTACGTAAAGCTGTACCTGTCTGTGATGAGGGTACGTATAACTGTACCTGTCTGTGTCGAAGGGTACGTATAACTGTACTTGTCTGTGTCGAAGGGTACGTATAACTGTACCTGTCTGTGTCGAAGGGTACGTATAACTGTACCTGTCTGTGTCGAAGGGTACGTATAACTGTACTTGTCTGTGTCGAAGGGTACGTATAACTGTACCTGTCTGTGAGGAGGGTATGTATAACTGTACCCGTCTGTGTCGAAAGGTATGAATAACTAACTGTACCTAGCAGTGTAAAGAAGTATATGCACTGTTTGTCAGATACAGATATGTATGACTTTACCTAATGTATACCTGCGTAGTGAAGTATACATGACTTATCTACGCTTGTATTGAGGAGTGTAACGACTGCCTTGTGTTAAGGAGAATCTATTTCTGTATTTGGCTGAATCATGTGTCTTCAGTTTACTTTGGAACCTTACAACATAAGTGACGTTGGTTTTGGGCGTTTCTTGGGGTTTTCTCTGTGTGAAATGAACCAATAATTAAATAGATAAGATTGTATATAACTAAAATAGATGGAAAAAAATTCATGTCTTGCTAGTGTAACTTGGCTGGTGTCTTTTCTTGAGTCCTTCCACAACATGAGAATGTGCCAAGTAATGATACAATATCCAAGGCAGTAAGTATCATTAATAATACCCTATTACTACCATGTGTGGATGTTTATCCTTGATCCCTTAATGACTATGAGTAACTTCCATGATTTAATTAGTGAAGGATGATGAAACTTAAGCGTTTCTTTGAATATTAAATATTTCCTCGTGAGAATGTGAAATTAGTGCCAGGAATTCGTGGAATCTTCCTTACCTGAGTGCATCTATGGGTAGTTCTTAGCGTACACAAGCTGTATCTGCGGTTGTATTTTGGTATTTATTGTTTATAGAGTATACGCTGAATAACAAAGTGCACTTTATATAAATGTAATTGTAATTTTAATATTACATCATGTCATGCAATGACATATTGATGAGCATCACCTTCCTGGTCTATGCTAAAAAGAAATGACAAAGCTTACTTTTACTGGTAAACCTGTTCAGCAGCTTACACAGTGTGCACCACCTGCCATGTCTTCAGGTGCTTCATAAAGAAATAAGATTTTTGCTGGTAAGACTAGTAGTGTGACCTCTCAAGTGCTTTCCAGTATGTGTAAGAACACCTGCTAGTGTCTTTCAGCGTATACGAGGGTTGATTTATGCGTTTTGGTTTACTGTTAATGTTGGTTTTTTTAGGATATACACTTCATCAAACCACTTTGAATGCCTATATATACTGATATTGTATTATCAGTTCATCCTAAGACCACCATTAACATTGTTAACAACTGTCTTTTGTACTTGAAAATCTATATCAGTATATCTGATAGAATACTGGCAGGTTTTATACAGAACTCACTCCTACTGTTCACTGCACCTATGATTGTATTTCAACTTGTATCTAAAATTTATATTTATATTTGACTGACCACGTAATGCATGGAAATGTACCTGTAGAGTTATGTGACGATATTTGAGGGTAGACATGGATGTACTAATACTGCTGTGAATGCAGTAATTATATCTTACGCAGTCATTATGTTTCAAGTGTAGAAAATGTCTGTACTATAGTTTAATTGATAAATTCTTCGGCAGGTAAAACAGTATGAATAGTTCAGTAGTTTTTCTTTCACGTTAGAGAGATAGTGAGAAAGCTGTTGCAGGGATATGACAGCTTGCATGTATCAACAACTGCTTTCCAAGTACATTATAATAATTAACAATGTATTTTGACAGCTTTTATGATAGCGGAGGTGGTAGGTGGTCTAGTAATGTCTCTAGAATAAACATACTGTAGTGCACACACTAATTGACCTGAACAAAACTTTATTGGTTAAGTGCACAGAATACAAGAGACAATACGTGCACCTGAGAATGTTCCTTCTGTTAATGGAGTAACCATCTGAGTCATACAACTCTGTAAGTCTCATAAAAAGAAGAAAAACTTTCAACCTATTTAATATGAGAATTAAGTTAAAATTGGCGTAAGCTGAGTGTGTGGAGTTGAACTTGGTGATACGGTGTCTCGTATAGTATTTTCCGTGTGTTGTGTATCTGAAACTTTAGGTTGGTGTTTATAATATTACTGAACATTTTCGAGTGTGTGAGTGAGAGTTTGTACTGGTTTATTATATTTGAGTATACATGCTGGGTACATTATGGTATAAATGATATTAGTTCTCAACTTCCCATTCCTATTAATGGCTTACACGGGCGCTTAGTGATTCTTTTTGATGTATGTGCTGTAGTCCCATCGAGTGTTCTAAGTTGTATCATTATATATCATTATAAGCAATATATGCACTCACACCCTGTGATATCCCTCTAAGCATGCCATATATTTACATATTGTTGCGGTTTTAAGTCACTGTCGTTAGAAAGTATTTGTATTGAATTTTAATTCTATAATAGTGTTCGATGTAGGAGACATCTCCTTGTTGTTTTGATAATGAAGTGCATTACTGCATTTGGGATTCTCGTACATATTTTGTCACAAAGGAGTCACATCCCAGAGACTCCTTCCCTGAGCACCAGTATTATTAGTGTTATTTTGCAAAGCTTGAAAGGCAAGTAGTGTTTAGCATTCAGATATGCTCTAGCATTCACTTCATATTGACAGTAAGAGTTATTGTTACCGGTTCGTCTAGTTCAATAGCTCAGCTGTCAAGTTACAGAACAATCCTGTCAAATATATATATATATATATATATATATATATATATATATATATATATATATATATATATATATATATATATATATATATATATATATATATATATTCAGGAAGGTGTGACCCGGCGTTACGCTGCCAAGGTCTTGGTCTTCAAGCGCTGTGGCCTGGTTGCTAGGCACTATGTGATCTGGTTTCCTGGCACCATGAAGCCTGATCTCTGGGCGCTGTGTTCTGGTAGACAGGTGCTGTGTGGCCTAGTTTCCGAGCTCTGTGTGGCCTAGTATCCGGGTACTATGTGATCTGGTTTCCGGGTTCTGCGTGACCTGTCCTCCAGGTACTGTTTGGTCTGGTCACCAGACTCTACGTGATCTGGTTTCCGTGCGCTGTGTGACCTGATCTCCAGGTGCGGCTGGACGTACTGGAGAACTTTCGCCGCTAGGGACACCTTCACCGTTCACTCCTTTCTGTGAAAGGCAAATTGAACTTTGCCGTTCTTATGTTATGCCAAAGGGTGGATAAAAGTTTTTGTGATATTCTCCAAACTCCATCTAGTTCATAACGGCCGTTCCATGTTTGTTATTATTCTGCTAAGTGGCCGTGATGTTAATTGTGAATGCGGCCATCACTTCCACCGTCATCACCAGAACCTACCATCACCACCATATCTCTCCACACTTCACGGGCGGAACGCGTCAGCTTACTCCCAGTCCCGACTCCCATATGCGGCCATCAACCCTTACCGCTGTTTAATGCTAGACTGAAACTGGTAGCAAGAGAGCAATTGCAACAGCATATCAAAACAACAATTGTACAATTTGTACATACAGTTTTAAGTTAATGGTAGATTATACGTGTCATTCATTTACAACGTTATCTCTAGGTTCTATAAAGTAGCCTAATCATATTCTCTCTTCATTGGGTATGGATGAATGTGTAGCGAGGTTATGGTACAAGAGCGACCTGTCCACCAGTCGCAAAGCTGCCGTGACCACTGTAGCGGGACATAGAGAGCCACAAGTCCTGGATTCTGTTTCAGCTTTGACCACCTGACCGCTGCCACAGTACCCACCTCCCCACATGTAAACGAACTTGAACATTGAGATGGCCATCCGAAGATGTGTATCACTGTAAAACAACTCTATCAACACATCTCTGAAGTCACAACAACTCACTCCATGGGCCTCGAATATGATGAGTGACCAAAGCCTCACATCAGGCTGCGCAATGATAACTGAACACTCCCTGGGAGACAACATCTACTAGTCCACCCTGGTCTCACCACAAAGGGTACATGACGCACATCAAACCATCCCGACAGCTGACACTTGTTGCACCATAAGGGTCTCATCTCCAGGGCCACCAAGTGCAGGCCCAACTTCCCTGGGTGCTATCACTCCCTATTCCGCTGCATATCATGGGCAGAATAAATTAGCTGGCACCAATTGAGCGGCAGATTATTGGGTTCTGGCACTGATCTAATAATTACTTACGGTTCTGGTACGTGGCAGTGTAACTCTCGCGCCTGACTCTACTTACGGATGATCGTGTAAATAAGATCCGCCATATTTATTTTTCAGCGGCAACTGATACTCTTTTCGTTGTCTGCAGGGTGGTCAGTCCTTCTCGTGTTTACTTAGTTTAGTTCAGTGTTGCGTGTTAACCCCCCTTATGCAAGTGAGTGCCAAATAACGGGTGGTATAACGATACTAAAAGATCATATGATGTAAGTGAACTTCAGTGTTACTCAACATTATAACAAGTGGATACTTCACAAGAATCCGGGCTGCTCGAGAGTGGTCCTGAGGATGTAGATCCCTACTGCACAGACTTCGTAATTGTTGATGTTATATAATATACAAGTGTGTTGTGACATACACGTTCTACATAGAGTCGATAGTGGTCGGGGGCTGTAACTGAATTTTGTGACAACTGCAAGCATGGTAGCAACAAACAAACATATATGGAATCCAGGATGGCCTCAGCGTCACATATGGATGGCAAAGAACTGAAATTCACTCTGTAGTTGGTAAAAGTTGGTCAGCAGAGTTAGTGCACAAAGATACACCCTTTTTCGGAATGAATGAGCATTTGACTGCTGTTTGAGGATGCAAAGCACAATAGTCCGGTATGACGCATATTATTTGTAACAATAATCCGGAATTACCAGATATTTGTAACAATAGTCCGGTATGACCAGATATTTGTAACATTAGTCCGGTATGGCCAGATATTTGTAACATTAGTCCGGTATGGCCAGTTATCTGTATGCATATCCTGACCCTATGAGAAGTCAGGATAAACCGCTCTCATGAAGGATAGACTCAAGCTGCACTTGCTAGGTGAGGTTTTAATGCCTCCAGCAATAACTCAGTGGTTATGATAAATACAATACTCATTTCGTCTGCTTTGTAACATAATGTATGCTGTATGTAAATTATGTAACTCCAATGTTTAGATCAGAATACTATATTTCATGGTATTATTAAAGCGGTCAAGCTCATCATTTCGTTCAGGAACCATAAACTTATAATAAAAAAATCTATGAATCAATGCAACATTTTTTATCCATTTTGAGGTTCACATTATTAAGCCTATTTTGGCACAAATGGCTTCTAGTTTGTAGAATATTAGAAAGTTGCATAGGCATTCAGATGATCTAAACAACTTGGGCGCGTTTAGGTAGTGAGGAAACTGACGCCGTTTAACTGATCATCACTGTAACTATGAAGTGTTCTGCAGCAGATAGTGAGAGTGATACGCTGCATACTTGTCAATAGCAGAACATTCTACCTCGTGTGCACTTGTGTACAAACAGTGACTACCACTGAAACCAGTGTGTCTCGAACTGCGTCTGTTTTCGTAACTCCTAAACATGCCTTTTAACGGCACTTGAGGACTTTTCCTTTTGGAGGGGCGAGCCAGCCGACACTCTAGGGTGATGTGTGGGGACTACGTTGGGCCGGTGAGTCCCCAGCATGTATGTGGGTGCGGGGATTACCGGCCCCCAAGTTCCCATGAGAAGGGCGGGGGCAGTGTGAAGTCACCACTGAGCCCGCCTGCACTCAACGTTGTCCCTCGCTCACGGTCTTCATTCAGCTTTTTGTCTAAATGTAAATTTTGCTCTATAAATAAAGTCATTTCTCTTATACAATATCTATTTTTGTCCTGATAGTTTATGCGACTTTTGCTGTATGTTCTACCTCTCCACACTATGATCATAAAATAAGAATATCATCATTCCTTAGCATGTGTAATATAGCAGTTGGAGTTTATAAGGTACAATAGTAATAAATTCTAGGTGCTATTCAGAACGTATAATATTTTTGTCACCAAAGTAAATAAATAAATTTTAGTTGGTACGATATTCATCACCATGACCGGCCTTATATTTATCATGGGGCTGGAGGCAATATCACTGGACTTGAAGCCATGAAAGTACAAGCCTTCTAAACACTGGAGGACCCATCCTACCTGATCAAGGGGCAGCGACCCGACCCATGGGAGGAGAAACTCACAGAGAGCAGGTGGAGAGAGGAAAGAGGTAGGACAACCCAGAGATAGGAGACAAGAGAGGGCTTCTATCTTATTGGTGTGCGAGTATGGGACCCAGATGAGACAAGAGTGAGGAGAGTTTACATAAGAATGTGGGAATGTTGAGACAAATCTTTAAAACAAAAACAAAACGTAGTTACAATGTGATCAGACACATTATGTTACACGAACACGTAATATTACACAAACACACACATGTTAGCTAAAATTTGGTCTAAACTTGTAGTGTGATACATATACAGTATACCCCGCAACAGCAGAGAAACTGTAGCCACGAACTAAAGCAGTCTGTGATCTCCATAGGAATTCCCTGCCCCTTTAAAAGCTCTCCTCTCTGTAATCTAAGTGTCATCTGTCATGAGTACTAAGTGTTCGCGAAGTACACTATTGAAGGAGACGTTTTGTTTTATGAAGACTGTGTTAAGCTCGCTACTGTTGTCCAGAAATATCGAACTAACTAATGTCTTTGAGGAGTGCAAGTGATTAGGCATTATTGTAGTGAATCTAACTTATTATTTATGGTCCTAACTTGTCTACGAGGAGACTCTTGTTATTATTGTTGTTGTTGGTACCTACAGTACTGTAGGTTTATAACTTATCTCAATTCTAGTCTGGCATATCTTATCTTGTACCTAATTAAGTCTCAATCCATGTCTGGCGTATTATATGTTGTATCTAAACAGTTATTTGTACCATTTGTCATATTAAATTACAGTCTCAAGCCAGCTTATTATGCCTAGTCATTTCTCGTGTGTAAACAATTGTTTTTATGATTTTTTTTCATTATTTTGATTAGGTACACAAGCAGTCTAAAGTCATCCCTGTTTTCTTAAATTGTTTCTTAATCAAGTGACTTTTATTAATTCAATGTGTCATTGTTTTCTAGGGTTTATAATTCATCTCTAATTGTGTAGTGCAACTTACAAATTGTTGCTTCTGCTGTTTTCCTTAAATGTTGTTTTGAAGTTTTTGTTATAAAGTTTTGTTTCTACATAAGAATTCCTTCTCCCTTGCCATTAATTGAGGTTTTGCTTGAGGTCTTCAGTGTTGGTCTTTACCATAGACTGTGGTAACACTTTCATCTCAAATAAGTTTTCATAGCTTTTCTATCTCCACCTGAACAGTTTGGAAAAAACATTCTTTTGGACAACACTATGCCTTATGTTATTCAACTCCACTAAGTTTAATGCTGTAATACAGTATTGTGGGTAAGATACTTCGATAACTTACACAATCCCATCAGTAAGAAAGGAGATAGCTGGCTATATCATTTCATTAGCAATTGATAATTCATATTAAAATGCATGCTTAGTGATTTTGTTAATGCTAAATGATAATTATCATTTTAATAAACGAAACCGAGATTATCTAAGTAAAAATCAAAATTGTATATAATTTTATGAGTTGGAATTTGTGAAAAGTACTGATCTAAGCTCACTGTAGAATCTTACACATGGTGTTTGAAACTTATGGAAAAGCATTTGAGTAATCAAAGTTCATAATTATGAGTAAGGACAAAGCAACATTTTTTAATTTGTATTAAACTTTATATGTGATTTATTTGCAAAACATATATGCAGGCATTTAAATAATCTAATTTGACAGAGTTTGTAAGGCAGCAGGTTGGGCATTGGACAAGAAAATGTCATCATGGTTCATCAAAGGAGCCAGTGAAGTGAGTCATTAACTTCCTTTATATGGATTTTTCATGTTCTGTAATATATATCTCTAAAGTATTTTTTTATATCAAGTGGCTTAGATGTATCAGTTCTATTACCAGTCACTCTGGTTTGATTTAATGCATATATTATTATGTACAGCTGGGGTCAGAAGTTTTCTCCCTGCTAAACTTAAGCATCTGTACCACATGAGAGTCAGGGAAAGTTCGAACACTCATTCCTCATGTCTCATTTTCACCACGCGTAGCAAAATTTTGTCTGTGACAGTACAACGGGGTTAATTTTGTTTCCAAGTCGAAATCTACTGACAATAAATAGAATTATGTCCCGTTGTTTGATGAACCACCATACAGTGACCATACCATAATTTCTTCAGATTAGGAAAATCTCAAGACATTTGTCAATAATTTTATTGTAAGATTGTATGTCATACAGTAATCGATATTTCAATAAAAAATTAAATTAAATTGTATTTAAGTATGTATAGGGTTGGGTAAAAGCAGGGCATGTTTAAACAAGCCACTGAATGATGATTACAACACTACTGAAATATACATTAAATGGAAGTGTTTCTGATCTTCATAACTAAGACCGAAAGAGACCTCAAAACGGACATTTCACCATTACGTCGTTGTACTAACGGAGTTTCATTCATAAGGAGTTTCACAATATGCCTACTCATGTTGTTCACAATATGTCTGATTTATGAAGAGTGACTAAGCAAATAGTACTTGATACTAGAGGAAACAGCTATAGCAATATACAATATATCGGTCTACATGGGATCTGCCATGTTACTGATATATAAATTGCATTGGCTTAAGTAACACCGAAATAAGGTTTCAAATCAAGGGACTTGCAGGCAAATGAACCCCCTTCCACCTAGGGCAAGATATTGTAGTTGTAAGTATAAGGAGACACCAGTTGTTTCATGTAGCCTAACCCATCGTGATACTGTGGGTTCGCTCACCCCAGTTCGTCGTGCTATCTCAGTGTTACGTATACCCTCGTTGTGAAAGGCAATGATAACACCGCCCACATTATGGAATGTTGCGTCGATAATTCCTCGCTTCATTCTATGCAAGATCCCGGTGATGACTGGCATGGCATTGTTGTCCGTTTACGACATTCACTCCGAATCATGTGATATATGATCTGAATCCCCGGACGACTTACGTTGTTCGAAAACACACACACACACACACACACACATATAAATATATATATGCTCAAAGGTCTCAAATCACATCGACCCCATGGCTAACGAAAATATTTTTGGGGGACAGTACAATCAGTGAATTAATATATAGAAAAGAAAAAAAAAATATTACGAGAGACGACTACATCATGATAAACAACTTAACTTTAAGATTTTGCAACAATTTCACCCAACCATTCAATTCCGTGATCACTTTGCTATGATACTCAACGATAGAAGGAGTGGCCATGGGATGAAGGTGCTCGGGGCGGTGCTGGACCCTGGTAATGGTAAGGCGTCCCTGAAGGAGTCATCTGCTGGACAACTGGTGAAATGATCTGTGGACCCACCATGACCATCGACAGTTGTTTGGAGTACTGAGGGAAAAAGTAGGAAACATTACTGGTCTGTAGCAGCTGTGAAGTGTGCAAAGGTGGGAGGGCAGGTGGGGGCCGGCGGGTGGTGGCCGGAAAGGTGAAGTGTGACTCAGCAGATGGAGGCAGGGGTGAGAGGGATAGTGAGATGAGATCTTTACACTAACGCTCATACACTCGCTACTGTTTATTACAAGGTCAGTTGACTTTGAGTATGTGTGAATGCATGCAGTAATTGTGCCAAATATAATTAACCACAACAGGTTTGTATTGTGCCTGAACATCGTCAGGCGACTAAACATATCAAGTACAGCTGCACAAAACAGCACAAAGAGCAACTTTCATATAGTTGAAGCAAATTTATCGATTTGATAGATCGAAGAATCATACATATTTCTTTTTCATCACATGGGTTCTGCCGTTTAGGACCAGATGGGATGACAATACGTCAAGCGGGGAATACCTCTTTCCGGAAGAGCGTATGAGGACGATCTTCACCAATAGTAGTTATAATGCCTGCAATTGCCTATAGCTGATACTGTAGACGGGCAAGGAGTGATTTGACAGAAGTTTAATAGTACCTCAGATGATATTATTCTGTTGAGTGTTCATACCTGGAGGTCACATTCTCAGGTTACAGACGCCACAAAAGCAGAATATTATCAGTACGAACTTTCTTATCGTCAGAGTTGTGAACTCGAAGTATAACTTTCCAGATATTGTTGTGTTGGCACCGAGTGTAACTAGCGCTGGCGCAGGTTTAGGACAATCTGGAGCCAGTACATGCCCAGTACTTGCCAAAAGTGAGTAACAGAGACGTGACCGACCGCCTAAGTGGTTAACAGGGCGATCAGTGGCGAAGAAGATGAAGAATTTATAAGGGACAGTCAAAAAGTCTTGCACTTCAGGGATAAAGTAATATGGCACAGTTCTGATGTTTTGGTAACAATTATTAATACTTTGTTTTAATTACTCTGATTTCCGTGAATATAATTTTTTCAAAGTTTTTGTTAAAACTGATCACCGGAGTATCATCAAATACCCAACAGCACAGATGCCCCCCCCCCTCCTATATGTCACTGTAACGATGTGAGCCAAGGTGTTAAAGTGATTGTGACAGCCTTAAAGATGGCCCCGGTAAGGACGTCCTTCAGCTGCTATCGACGAAGTAACTGTAACGTAGGGACAGATTTTGATTATGGATGACCAGCGTATCCAAAACGATAAAACAAGCATTGAAGTTAGTTTTTCACATGTTAATATTGTGGCTATCATCCATGAACACGGGGATGTCTAAAAGTTTTGTAAGATGAGTTTCACAGCAGATGATGACTTTCAAGTCTCGAGTTACTTGAACTGTACGACATCGATCCAGCCAAGATTCTTTTTCCTCCTAGTGAAGGGAAATGAGACCTTGATTCATCATTGCGACTGTGAGTCAAAGAGAGGGGAATCCCTGTAAAGAAACACCTGAATTCTCTAATATCAGTATTAGCTTTCTGCCGGTAATATCGTGGCCTCGATTTTCTAGAATGCCAAAGGGATTCTGTTGGTTAACTACCTTTCAAAAAATAATTAAAAAAAAAAAAACGATGACTGATTTCCTAATGCGCAAAACTTGCAAATGTCATCCTGGAGAAATGACTGAAAATACTGTCTAGCCAAGTAACTATTGCTTGTTTCGAAACCTAATGTCCCATCTCCAAGGCTGTCACCTACATGAAGAGCTAAAGGAGACCACTGATGTGTGGTTTCAGGAACTGTCAGAAAATTTATTTAAGTCTGGTAGTATTCAGGTCAGGGGCTTAACAAGAATAATGAAACTTAAACTCAAGATTTATCCGATAATATGAAAAGGAAAATAAGTCACCACATTAATCAATTTAAACCTTTCACGTACAATATGAAAAAAAAAATCACCAGTGTTGAGACTAACCGTTTCATTTAGGCCTCCTGCCAGCCCAGCCACCAGAGCTGCGAACACGAAGCCGAAGTTACAGAAGAAGAAGACCATGACGGTTTCAGAGTGATAGTAATCAGTGCCTTGTATGAACCAGACGGTGCTTGTGACCCACACAGAGAAGCCAGCAATGGTGAAAGCGACAAGGCGCGCCGTGTTCTGTTGCAGGTCCACAACGCCTGAAGCTGTCGGGGAGGACTTAGCCTGTGGGGAGTAACACACATGCATACAAATATATATATATATATATATATATATATATATATATATATATATATATATATATATATATATATATATATATATATATATATATATATATATAAGGAAACATACTTTTTATACGTTTGAAATCTATCTTTATGGACATTAAATATCACTAACACGACATGCGTCACAATTTCATTACGGGATGCTGTAGTGGTAGAAATAAAACTGTAACGAATTAAAGACAAGGATACCAGAGATGGAAATGAAAAGGAATATCGATCTGAGAGCCAATTTTAGTATGCTAAGGTGGTGTGGATATACTGAGAGTGGAAAGTTGAAGACTGGTAAAATGCAGTGAAGGAGGGCAGTGCCAGATGGACAACGAACGTCACATGGACTCTCAAAAGCTTTCCTTAGATATGAGTACAATAGGAGATGTATAATGCAATAAATGAAACAACATTCCATAAGAACTGTTGTTAGGTAGTTAATATTTAGTTTATAAATGGGAGGATAACTTGAAATAGTGGCTAAATGAGAACCGTCATCATGGAGGGTGAGGATTTTTATAACCTTTACATCAGTGATATAGGATAATTTATACTAGACGATATCAATCTTATATAAAAACAGGGTTTCGAATTAAAAAAAAAATGCTGCAAAAATTAAAATTATTTGGTGCTTTTCTCGGATTATTTGAAGTTAAGGAACTCCAGATTATTTCACATACTGATTAAATCGCCCTAACGTGAATCCAATCTAACCTAACTAATCCTATAAATTACCTTAACCTTATCACCAAGGTAGCATTAGGGTGTTTAATAATCAAAGAACTAGCCTGGGGTGTCTAAATCTTCAGGTGATCCTTATATCAACATACCGATATATTGAAGATAATTCGAGAAGTGAGGTATATGTAGGCAACATTGATCGGAATCAGCACCAGAGAGCCATAGTAGGTCCACACTGGGGAAGACATTACGGCTCAGCATAGTGAAGAGGTCAACATAGTGCAGAGGTCAGTATAGTTTGTTACTGAACTTACTCTACAATCATCAGACAATGTATTGTTTAGGAGCAAAAATTATATGTAGATTAAGAGTTCAATTATTTTTGTTTTCAGCATTCTTTGTTTTCTCATTTTTTACTGTATCTTGAGTGCCACTCACCTGAACCTATGGCGTACCCCAAGCAGAAGCCGATGGAGTTACCCCAAATCAACTATGGAGGAGATAATAGGAATGTTTAAGTCTTACAGGAGAACTCGCACGCACGCACACACACACACACACACACACACACACACACACACACACACACACACACCATGTGCTTCCTGTCTCACCTTATTTCTTTTAACTCGATAACTTTTCCTCATTATTAATACTAAACTGTTTTAATATAAGTTTCTATATTTTTTTTTAGATAAACAACTCATATATTCTTCATAGTATAAATCTTAACATACAGTATATTGATTTTAACACGATCTTCATAGTAACGTATCGAGGGTGTTCATTAAGGTATTAAGAGAGGAGAAAGGAAGAAAAGGAGAAGTACTCACAAAGCCGATAGCCCCAAAGGCGATGGTGGTGTTCTTCAGACAACCAGCAGAAGAGGAGGAGGCCATTGGCAGCTGCTGTGCTTGCATCATCTGGAAACAGGTGAGTTAGTAAAGTCAGTTAGGTGAACAACGTCACTCTACTCACTTAAGCGACCAAGGAGTAATTAGAATTCTAATGGAGTATATATATTGCTGCTTCCTGATTGTAGCAACTCCGTGTCACCCAGTGTATCACCCTGTACCGCTGTGTCACCTCGTGTACCACATTGTACTCTCGTGTCATGCTATGTATATACAGTACCTCACACTACCCCCCCTTATTAATCCGTAATCCACGCTGTGTCTCCATTATCACAGTGTTTATCTCTCTGTAATCTACGTGTCACCCTGTGTACCACCCTGCGTACCACCCTGTACCTCCTTGTCACACTCTGTACTTGTTTTAAAACTTTATTTGGATCACCCGAATATTATCCCCTAGCCTTTTCACCTTAAGATTAAGCAGTCACGGAGTATTTTGTAGACTAAAGTGTCTAAGGTCAATAATTTCAGCAAGGTAGTTGAAGTAGAGAATGCTTTCAATTTTGGTGTTTATTAAGTCATAGAGTAGAGGATTAGTGTGTCTGAGATACAATGGACAATGGTAGTCTTTTTTTGAGGGTTGGGGGGGGATTGAATTCTTATGCAGTAGAAGATCAAGATTAAGGGACTTGGTGTGGGGTTCGATGCTAATATTGAGGGAGATGAGACCAAATGACAGCACTAGTGTCTTCTCCCTAACGGAAGAAGGTATAGGCGGCTGCATTTATGAAAAAAACCCACCTTACCCTAAAAAAATTCCTATCAAAAGTCTACCACAGTCTGACCACGAGAAAGGTCTAATTTTCAAGATGGCGTCGAATAGCCACCAAATCCTAAAAATGTCTGTTACTCCTTCATTATTCATCCTAGAGAAGTAATTTTGATGTCTAACCCCATGTTCTGGTGGCCTAGGAATCTGTTTGGCTTGTTAAAAAAGCGACATGATTACATATTTGTGAAATCCAAGATACAATTTGCTTTGTTAAGCAGTGAATTAAGAGAAACTTGGGGGGCCTTAAGAAAGAAAATATGATGAATGAATAACTCAACACTATAATGAGAGGGGGTGAGGGCACTGTAGTTAACAATTTAAGCCAAGTAAGATTATTAGCTGTAGCAAGTTTTTATATACTATTATTTACAATATTAATTAGATCTTACTATTGCAGTGACCTCGTGGGACTATTGGACCACTTTCCTATATGAACCACTGTAGGAAAAGGCTCAGGTGTTGTGGGACTAAATAGCCCTCACCTTTAACCTCTACAAGCCCAGCTGACATTTAAGAGCTAAGGAAACCAATATTTTAAAGCCCTGAGTGGAAAAGTGCAAGAGACATTAGGAGGTGAATGAGGAGAAAATTCATTTGAAGATCGTACAGTAGATGTGAATGATGGTGGTTATAGTGACAAGTCTACAAGTGTGTGTGTGTGTGTGTGTGTGTGTGTGTGTGTGTGTGTGTGTGTGTGTGTGTGTGTGTGTGTTGTAACTACTGCTTACTAATTAGAGGTCTTGCACCCGACTCTCAACAAAGTTCTTAATTTCTACTTTGTTTTCGTTTAATTGGTGATTTAATAGCACTTCTGGCTGTCTCACCTTAGCTACAGAAAAATGGAGGTAAAATTACCACTGAAACTAGAGGTGTTCTCTCAATTCCAAAATGTTAAAGGGTAATACAGTGTTATGATCCTCTAAAAACAAAATCTTGTCCAGGAGAGTAAGAGCGGCCACGGGAGAACATACCGTCATATTGTAACAAGATTTTCTTACCGTTGTGAGTCGAGTTAAACGGGTGTAGTCTTAACAGGTTGTAGAGGGTGTGATCTGCTACCAAATGAATCTGGCAACAGCGAGGATCTGGCCTAACACAGCTAACGTCGTTGCTCACAAGGCTTTTATCTGATAACTTTCGAGGAAGAGATAACACGCTGGTGAGGCAATTACTGATTGTTGTGGTGATAAGGCTACACCATACGAAATAATATTGATGTCATTACCTCAACACACGTCCAGCTGTGCAATACTTGACCCATAAAGCAGCTGCTGCTGCTGCTTTTATCGCCGAGGAACCCATCTTGGGTTTGTGACGTTTATCACTAACAATGTCAAATTGGTACCGTGACGGAAAACAACCTGCACAGTGCACAGTCAGCAACAGATGCAGCTGATCACACACACACACACACACACACACAGTCAACACCACGTGCAGCTGGCTTGACGCATACCCACAACAGCAATCTATATTACAAGACAAAATTGAAGAATAAAACTGAACAAATTACCTTGACAGTTTAATTTTACAATGTAATATGAGAGATAAACGTACCAAACTCTGTTAGTGACAACGTCTGGCAAACAACCTGTTCTTAATGTCGTTTAGAATGTCACAGTGAGGGCATGAGACCTTTTGACAATCTACTTTCAGTACGTAATAGCGAGAATGAACTGAAATTGAGGCATTAATTAACACTTTTAGTTTAGTGGATTAGTGTGTGCAAAGACATGGTATGTTCGAAATAATAATTAATGATAAAAGAAGAGGATATGAGCTTTAATTGTAAGTAAATATTGATGAGAAAAAATTTGTTACTGGATTTAAAAAAAAAAAATTCTGGCTGGAACTAAAATAAGTGAGACAGTCAAGGGGATAAATAAAAATGAAGTTAAGACGAAAAATTGGCTATACTGCAGGCAAAATTGGTGGCAATAGGGAGATGGAGTGAATAATTTGATCACCTGCTTAATATTACAGGTGAGAGAGAGGTGAAGTCATCCTGTTTACGAAATATTGGGCTGGAATATCAAAGTGCTGTTAATGGAAAATTTAATAAGTGAATAGGAAGTGAGACTGGCAGTAAGCTCAACACAGGTAACACACCCTATCAATAGAAGCAATCACCGCTGAACTGTTTTATAGAGGCTGTTGGAATAGTGAACAAAATATGCATGGTAGAGGGAAAAGTGAATCGCAGTGGGCATGTATAGGTCCCCTACCAAAAGGAAAATTGGACAAGAATGAATATAAAAGTTAGAGTATAACAGTATAATAGGGATGGGGTATGGTAGAGTTATTATTAAAGGTATTATTAAAGAAATGCAGAGTATTAAAGGAAGAAATTGTGTTAGTCCAGAATTTACGTAAAAAGCGCAAGTGAAAATTGTGTGGGAGAGAAGAAACATTTACTTGTGGCATTTGCAACTAAATGAACAATACGATAGAAGTGATAGAGAAAAGGCGTGGACAGCATTAAAACGTATGGATTACTTTATTAGCGGTTGAACATTGTTAGATTTTGTCAGGAAAATGAGACATTGGTTCCTCGTGAAAACAGGACCACGCCAGAGTCGAATTGTGTCATCACGGTGAAACTAAGGATGATAGAAGTACAAAAAAAAAAGAGTAAATAATGATAATTCTGTCGTAAAAATTGAGCCCATGGTAAGTAAATTGTAAATAAGACAACCATAAGGAAAGACTGCACGAGACCCGATGACTATATTGAGGTTTTAAGTCATCAATAAAATCTAAAACCGAATTTGTATGCTGGGACGCGTTCCCAAAAATATGCCATTCATCATCGGCGGGAGGATATCTGCCTTTGAAACAAGAACAAAAATAGCCTCAACACCTCCCCCCCCCCCAATCTCAAGCCACACCTACACTACTGTCTTGGCGCGATACCCGAAAGGTTGAATCAAACAAGAATGTTGAGCATATATAAAAAAAATACAAAAATCATACACCAGACACAAGCCGGTGTAAGAAAAAAGACACCTGCCTAGAGTGACCAAGTCGTGTCTATGCAGCCATTTATCTATGCGTGATGTTGTAAGTAAACTAATTAAAGGTGGGAGAAGTATCTAGCTTGGATATATTATTATTATTATTATTATTATTATTATTATTATTATTATTATTATTATTATTATTATTATTATTATTATTATTATTATTATTATTATTATTATATTATTATTATTATTATTATTATTATTATTATTATTATTATTATTATATAACTACTAGGATTTTTATTATCATTATTATCATCAAACTATAGACATTGCCGTCTTTTCTTGCAATGTTGAACCAGAGAGCGTACACCCTCTGTAAAACCCTACTTGCTTTTCCAAATCCAGGAGGAATGTAGGAGTCAGAAAGCATTATATCTGGGCTATACACACCGCCGGAAGATACCCAGGGCCAGTTGACATGCAGGAGCCAGATAACATAAAATATATTTGACCGTACACACACAGTACCCACTTGTTCTCTTATCTCAGCTGTTTCCTACCACCTAGCCACCAGGCCCCCACCCGTACTTGAAAACATCAATTCTTGTTTTTTTGTTTTTTTTTGAGCATTTTTTTTTAATGTGTTCCCATCTTTTTAACCAATAAAATTAATATCCAGTAATCAATACATAAAATTACAACCGAGATAATAAGGACATTTTCATCACCATAAATCTTAAAGTTGAAACCAAGAGAAGAATAAATGATATATTTTCCTTAATATAAGTCCAACATTTTCCCTCCAGCAGTGAAAGCCGTAATAATTTTCTTCTAGAGGTTATGCACCGCCGACCTCTCCCCCTGTGTGCTGATAGCAAGTGTTTCCCTCGAGGCCACACCAAGATCAGTTGGGATGATAATGTGGGACGGTAGGACAGTTATCGCGATTCTTGCCACACCCTCTACTGCCGCCGCTGCCGCCACTCGCCCCTCTGCCAAAATTCTCTGCACACACACACACACACACACACACACACACACTCCTGCCTTTATTTATCTGCCCACACTTCTTGGTCTTTAATGTTTTACCGAAACCTCTCACCCAAAGTAAGATACGGTTTTTTGTTAATTTACCAGTTATTATTATTATTATTATTATTATTATTATTATTATTATTATTATTATTATTATTATTGTTATTATTATTATTGTTATTAATAGTAGTAGTAGTAGTTAGTAGTAGTAGCAGTAGTGGACGTCAGTTCTCGAGGATTCTGGACGCGGGGATAGTGAACCTTCTTTGATGTCAGGATATTCGACCCCTTGGCCGCATGTCACCGAATTTGTCTCTTGAGGCTGCACAACAAGAGGAAGACGTAGTAGTAGTATTGCTTTTGTTGTTGTTTTTATTGTGATGAATAGTGAAACAAAAATAGAGATAAGATTGACAAAACATTTTATGGAGAACAAGAAGCAGGTGTGGGAAGTATTAATCAGATGTAAATGATAGTTAAGAATGAATGAGGGAATATAATGTATGGAGGAATATATTGTGAAAGAAAAGTGTCAGTAAACACCACTTGGGGAGGAAATAATGAGCGAGTGGCGAGGATAAGAGAAGAGCAGGAACCAGAGTTATTATGCTTAGGCGGAGAAACGAATATCAAATATGTGGTGGACGTTTAAAGGTAAGGTAAGGTTAGGTTAGGTTAGGTTAGGTTAGATTAGGTTAGGTTAGGTTAGGTATTCAGTAAGAGTGTAAGAGTGGGGCTTACACCAAGGATAAATACTACTGCCATGGAGGAAGGTGGAGGGGTTAAGAGAGGAGAAAGGAAGCGTATTGAATAAGACCGCAGGTTTTGATTCATTATATAGGCCTACTTGTTAACTTAGTAATCATGTGTTATGCCAGTATTAGTATTATTCGTCTTATTGCACCGTAACGCTCGACACATTCACCGTTACTATTATTCCTTCTATGTCCCCGGGTTGACTATTCATTTGTCAACCATCACAAATCCCTGATTTGGCAATATTCGAAGGTACCAATGCAGCGTTTCCACTCTCCACGTCTTCTGATTCAATCTTATCCCGGGTGTAATGTACCGTGTATTTACAGGTGTAATATAGTCTACTTTCTTAACTCTGCGACCGTCTTGACTCTTCCCAGTGATGTAGAAAACTTGAGCATTTTATCAAGAGCAATAAGGGTTTTACAGCAGACTCCTGAACAGTACTATTAATTCCTATAGACACTAGAGAAGATGGGACGTTTCTAGGATATATATATCCTGATATAATAATTGCGAGAGACAGTTAAACAGTTTTTACATTTGGCTGTAAATGGGATATGGCTCAACTACTATTTTGGTGGATAATTCTGAAGAAAATGTGAACATGTTTTTGAATGACTTTGGGAGAATGAATAGTGGGAGGTAACAGTGAATAGGTGATAGAAATTTACAGTTGAGGAAGACAATGAAAATGTGTAATAAATTTGAATTAAGACGGAATACAAGCAGAGGTGTCCTAGTTACCTGAGAGTGACATATTAACTAATGGTTCAATAAAAGCTGGATTGAATCACAGAGTCATTAAGGGAACGTAAACAGTGAGAAATATATATAGAGAGACAATTGTATCAGAGGAGACGAAGTTGGGGATGTACAGAAGTATAAATTGAGCCGACAGTTTTATAATACCTGAAACACGTCGGCATGAAATCGTAAACTGTTTCCACTGCAGTCGTCCTCCAACTTAATGTTTTTCATTGTTCACAAAACTTACATAAGAACTTGTGTGGTCCATCAATTGATTAATTTCAACATTGCAATTTCGCCCAGTTACGTTTATGCACACTGCAATCAGCATTGTAGATTTGTCTGGCAAGTGCCAGTCTGGAATTGCAAATCCAATAAGTCTGTCTGCTTTGACCGCACAGCTTGTCTCCATCCCTGGTCACCGGCAACGTCAGCTGTAGCTTGTCCCGGTAGAGTTTCATATATGCTGATAACAGTGTTGGCCTGGTTGTTAAGGCAGTTTTGGATGTCTTCTCCAACTGCAGTAGATTGTACACGACTCCAGGTAGTTCTTCGTCAGTAAATATTGTTTAAATCATTACAGAAGTTGGGGAGCTGAT